TCATGATTAAGCTCTCTAGTGGACCATTTTTTACCTTTGTTGGGGAAATTGTCCATTTTTTTGTATACTTGTACTTTTTTGTTACTTTTTGAGTCTTGTATGTCTTGTAAGTGGGTTCCAAGCACCCACTCACTAAAACCTTTATATATTCTTTCCATCAATGAAATTTTTATTTTGGCATATATATATATCGGCTTCGCTCTCTCTCTCTCTTTCGCTTGCGTGTTTCCTCTCGGCGTCTTCGCGCTCTTTTTCTCCTTTGTTCCGGCTCTGAGACGAGGCTCGTCTCCCGCTCGAGTGTTTCTGCGCTCGATTCTACTCGTCTGTGGCCCGTCTCGCCGCTCGCTTATTCTACGCCTCAATCTAGCGCTGCTCGCGATCACGATTCTTCCCTGCGCTCGTCCCGTCTCGCCGTGTCGTCCCTTTCGACTATTTTGAAGCATTTTTTTTCCTCGTCTGCTTTCTTCTCTAAACGTCGCACCTGTCCTTGAGGATGGCCTTGGATAAATTGTATGCAGCTGCCCTTGCCGGTGTCCACACTTCAGGCACACCAAAATCATCATTTTTCCCTCCTTCGTTTAAGTGGGCGGAGGACATTAAGAAACCTGGTAGGAAGAATGAGAAGTTTGCCATCTTTTTTACAGAAGTTGAAAGTATTCAACTTGCTTCCTCCTGTCGTCTAAATTTGGTTGGGAAATCTCTATATGATCATCCTAAAATGGAGCTCATTCACAAAGAGTTTGGACTTATGCATCTTGTTGGAGAATGAAAAATTGGATTATTAGATGGGAGCACATTCTTATTCAAATTAGCAATGAAGAAGATTATATGCGCTTATTTGCTAGAAGGATAATATGAATTGATAACAGAGCAATGAAAATTCTGAAAGGGTCTGTGGATTTTGACCCATAAACGGAACCGCCAATCATTCTAGTTCGGATTCGATTTGGACTTGTCTCTTTGGTCTGAAATTTCATTATTTTTCTCAAAAAGTATTGTACTTTATTGCCTCAGCTTATGGGAAGTCACTCAAGATGGGCATTCCTACTTTTAATTTGTCTCGTCCTTCTGAAGCCAGAGTACTTGTCAATGTTGAAAGAGATATCACTTCACCCGTTTCTGAGGAAATATGGTTGGGCACACAACACTATGTATATTGGCAGAATATAGATATTAAATTTTTTCTATCGTATTGTTCGAACTGTCGTATGTTTAGACACTCCAGTTCTCAATGTCATCATTTACACCCCCAATTCAGACCAAAAAAGCAAACTGCTCAGCTAGAGACTGTGATTCTACCTCCTGATCAGGCGGACAATATGACAACCATTCAATCCCTAGTTGTAGCTCCCTCGTCTTTGGAACCTCCCATCGTAGGGGAAAGGGAGTTCTTCAGACCCCGCCTGCCCTAGAACATATCACTGATAAAACAGGTGAAAATAATTCTACTACTTCACAACCATCTCATCGGTCCAGAAAAATGTTAATATTATTCAGGCTCATGGCGATCAAGACGTGCAACGACCTACACCTATCCGACCACCTTTGAAATCTACTGATCAGATGAGTCAAGCATCGGATGAGGAATGACAGGTCTACACTTCTAGGAGGAAGAAGAAGAATGAAAATCTAATTGAGCTCAGAAATCTAATACTTTGTTTACTACAGGCAATGGTACACACCATACCAATTTAATAGTCAGCTCACTTCCGAGAACTAGAGGCAGGAGGACTAAATTGGGACTTTTCTAGCACTTTTGTTCCTTTTTAGGCTTTTTGGTTTTCAACCTTTTTGTATTTTTACTTTATCAGGGTTTTGTGTGTGTTGTATTGTATGAGTTGGGCTTTCTTTTAGGTTCTCTCATACAACATTTCTGTATCTTTTTCGTATTAATATATTTGCCCTCAGGTTTTTTTCTAATATATATATGTATATAATAAGAATACATAAATATTGTGTGGAAGGGCCCAAGCATGACACCCTTCCCCCACGATAACCATCACAGAAAAATACAAGAGACCAAAATAAAAAAACAAAAAATGTCAAAAAAACGTAGTATCAGGTAGCTAGAAAGCTACCCAATTTTCCTTTGCTTCTACCTCTAGTACTAGGAAATGAGCCAGATAATAAATTGGTAAGATGATTGTCATTGCCAGTAGTGACCAAAGTATCGACCAAAGTATCATCCAATTATCATCCAATAAGTTTCCAAGCTCGAGTCGGCCTCCAGTCTTCTTCTTCCTGGAAGAGACCTGTCATTCTTCATCCGAAGTATATTGGTCTAAAGTGTTTCGGACATGTGTAGGATGTTGAACATTAGAAGTAACCGCTTGTTGTACCAGTTGATCTTTCATTGAATCAAAGAAGCACTCTCGAGTGTCTTGACATGTAAGTGAGTCTTCTTCAATAACAATAAGTGGTATAAGCACTTTTGGATCTGTACCTGTAGTATGATGTTCTTGATCTGGAACTGCGATGTTAAGTAAAGGATCGGGTTGCACCTTCTCAGCAGGGATGGTAGATCATTAGCGATATCCAAAATCTGTCCTGTGGTAGCTTTCTCTCCAGATGGAACAGATATGTCCAGAGTAGTGGGATTAGATTCATCCTTATTCACTTGATCTTTAGATTTAAAATTAGGATGAAATTTATGACATTTATCAGTCTATGCCCAAACATCTTACAATGAGAACAGTAAGGCGATCTATTCTCCAAGACGATTTGTTGTCAATATCCATTATGAGTTGTGTCCAACCAGACTTCAGTAACATCAGGTAAAGTAATATCCCTTTCCATAAGTATTCTGGCCACAGAAGTTTTGGTTAGGTTAAAAGTCGGTAGATCTAACTTCATAGGGTCCCCTAGTATGGCCCCAATAAAGTAAAAAACCTGATGATAAAAAAGTGCAGCTTGAGACCTGGTAGACTAAACCATACCGGTAAAGTAGGAGGTTCATGATTAGAGTCAAAATTAAGAGACCACTCGAGTAGCTTCATTGATTTACCAGCAATACTGAGATATTTATTGGAGAAAATCCGAGTGTAGTCTTCAGCCACGGTTAGTCAAAATTAAGAGACCACTCGAGTAGTCTGAGTGTAGTCTTCAGCCACGGTTAATTGAATTAATAAATGTCTCCCATCCATGAGCCCCACTTTCCACTTTCCTGCTAATTTGAGATCATCAAAACTTTTCCTAATAACTTTCATAGGTGAGTGCCCCCACTGAAATTTTCCAATAAAAGCAAACTTAAATTTGTTAGTCAGGGTTGAAATTTATAACTCCGAGAAAAAGATTTTTGTTTTCTCACTTTTTCTGCTTACATTCTTAATAAATGGGCAGTCACATGTACCATCGCGATATTCCTTATAACTTGAGGGAAAGACAACCGCCGGTTCCACCTAAGAATTACCCACCACGTGAGCAAAGGGGGCTATGTCAGGTTCAACTGAAAAAAAAGGAAGTTCCATCATAGCTTAGAAGTCCAGCCAAGTCGGTCAGAGGGCAGGTCAGGAACCAAAGAGACCAAAACTCGATGCAGTCGAGCTGTCAAGCTGTTGAGCTGAGTCGAGTAGGAAGACGAAAGGAGGAAACGCCCCTTCTTGTCCGTCTTCCGTGAGCTGTAGTTGAACAGAACGACGAAGTCTGTAGGAGAGATGATGAGAGGCCGCAGTCGGCTTTGAACAGAGGCGACGAGACGCAAGAGGAGAGACGACGACGCCGGAGAGGAGAGACGACGACGACGATGGAGAGGACGACGACGTCGGCTTCGGCACCGAAGAAAAGATCTTGTGCGGTAAGGGTCGCTAGGGTTCGACATGGGTCGAAACCCTAGCAGAGCCGAGCGTGGGAGACGACATCGACATCTAGTTTGCCTTAATGTGTGTGTATATATATATTAAATAAGAATTTTGGGGTATGCGTGTAATAAATGGCAGAATTTCACAAACTGCTTCCGCCAATTGGCGAAATTCTCTGTCACATTCCCCATGCAGTTCCCACTAAAACAGCAAAAACATGCATGAAATTTCGATTTCACCCAAAACGTGATCTCAAAAGTCCAAACAAGGGCAGCCTCAAGTGTTCTTCAGTTCGATAGCTTTCATAATAGTAATTAATCAAGATTCAAGTTCAAATTTTGATAGTGTATTTTGTAATACAAGCATAATATTCTGCGAGCAACTCCTTTGAATATTGGCTGACTAATCGAGAAGCATGCTGTTGATAATTGTCTAATAGTTTGACATTGAGACCTTCATAATTTGACCAAAAAAGGCTAACTTAGTTAAAATGTGAAAGTGCATACAGTTGTTGATAAGGAGATAAATTTAACAAAAAATTTAAAGCCTACGGATTTATGAGTGAAAAAATTTGCTACCAGAATTAGCAAACAATCAGATTTAAATAGTATCTAGGATTACCAGTATGCTAATATTTGAATCCTAATTGATTTACTGGAGAAATTCATGCCACTGAATAGTGCTAGAAATATATATTGTTTGTCATATACATTCCATTCATACAGACCTCTAATAATGGTGTATCACACAATAGTGTTATTTTTGAATGCCATCTTTGTTATTATTTATTAGTTTATGAGATTTATCTGAGAAACATCATTGGATTGAGTGCCGATTTCTTCAAGTACTTCCTATGACAATCTGATTCATTTAGGGGATATTAGCTAGTGAAGAATTTTAAACCTTTTTATTAGCCATTTCTTTGTCTTACAGATATTATTTTGTTGGTATAATTGTTGGTATAATTGCCCTGATTCTTGGCAATTGGCTAACGCTTATAACACATTTGTGGGGAGCTGGAGCACACTCATCCTTGATGAAGAGATTCTCAAAGGACTTCTCTAAAGAGAACAATGCCATCCTACACATTGACTTGATCGCAGCTAAAGAGGGTAAGGAATTTCATTTATGCTGCAAAAGAAACTGCATCTCACACTAGAGAAGCATATGAAGGTGGAGCAAACAGAAGATAAAGGCAAAAACCTGGAATCTGCAGAGCCTCCAAACCAGGTAGATCTGACAGCTTCAAGCCACCAACTTTTTTCCTGGGGATTGTGGAGAGAGAAGAGTAAGGTGACAGGAGGAAGAAGGGGAGAGTACTTTTTAGGGCCAAGAGTAAACATGAATACTTAATGCGCAATGAAATTTCTTTGAACCTCTTGCTAGTTCATAATTAAACAAATAATATGCCCTTTCAAATTGCAAGACGAGTATCCTAGAATTAATAAATGATTATTAAAGAAAGAAGCAAGAAGTGGTAACAAACGACAAACAAAAACATTTAAAACAAAGTTTCACAATGATATCAAGAATAAATTTTAAAGTTCAAAAACTAACAACTGTTTCTCCATGGTTTTTGTTTCTTTTTAAGCATCAAACAGTTGTACATGATAAATAGTACCTGTCGATTTTATAGTGAGATAGTTTCAGTGCATATGCTTCAAGCTCCAAAGGTTCGGCACTTCGATCACTATGTAATGTCCAGATTCTTACAGATCCATCAGAACAAGCAGTCACAACATCACCATTCTCCAAGAACTTGGCATCCCAAACACACCCAGGGTGCTCGATGCTCTGCATGCATATGCCATCTAGTTTGCACATTTTTCATTCGTAAGATTGCAAACTTCATATATAAACTCTGTACAAGGGGACTTCTCAAAGAGACAATAATATTGCATAACAAGCAGCAAAAAAAAAAGGAAAACATTAAATAGTATAAAAAACTGAAAGCGCATGAAACAATATTTGATTTCTATATAATAAAAAAGATACCTGTGTGAAGTGGGAGCATATGCCGTGAAACCGTTTCTACGGAATCTTGTGGTCAGCGGATTTTGAACCAATAACGTCACCAAGTGACCGCCACACGTTCTAGTCATAATGTAATTCCAAGATCAAAAAGTAAAAGTACACTCAGTGGAGCACCCAAGCCAACCTCGCCAAAGAAAAAACCCGCAAAGGGAGATGAAAAGGTGAAAGCCTCTAGTACTCCTGAATCCACCTCAGCTAAGAATTGTTTAAAGTACCAAAGTTTAGGCCACGTTACGTTTGATAGTCCAACTAAGAGGGTGTTTCTTCCATTAAGCAAGGAACATTTTAATAGATGGACAGTGACATATGAGATACTGAAGTAGGTGGGGATGCAAAAGAAGAGTATTATCTTGTAGCTGATGAGAGAGATGATAGGGATTCATGTTGAGCCTGTGAGAGATACTTCAATAGGACTCAAATCGATTACCCTAAAAGGCACTAGGTTTGACGTAATGGGCGTTTATACAAAGTTTGAGAATGTGATAGCACAAGCTACCTTTTTACAGGTGTTAACAGGAGCATCAACAAGATTGACATCGATTGTCTAAGAGGGTCATGAATTTTGAGAAGTCGTTACCAAAAACAGAGCAACCCTAGATTAGAGAGTTTCAAGATTTCAAATATATAGTCTATCTTTAGAACCGCCACTACTAAAAGAGGTTCAATATGTCAAAGATGAGAAAGCTTTGACTATTTCTGAAAGACTAGATGAAATAATTTGGGTGAGTTCAATTCAGCAATGTCATCCCAGATAGATAGCCAGGAAGGGATAGTGAGAAGCTACCTCGAAAATCTCGACGGGTATTTTATAGGTAGGAACATCCGACAGTGGGATTTAGGTCCTTCCAAAGAAGAAGAATCACGATCTCGGTTTCCCACGATTTTGTGGTCCATGTATTTTGCAACGAGGGGATTATAATACCCGATTTCAGCTTACAACAACGATAACAAACCTTTATCCCATTAAGTGGGGTCGGCTACATGAATCCTTTTTCTCCATTGCATCTTATTGAGTGTCACATTTTCATTTAATTTCAATAAATTAAGATCATTTTTTATACAATATGCCCAAGTCTTTCTAGGTCTACCTCTGTCTTTCTTAACAGAAGTCAAATCTAAAACACTCTACAAATCGGATCATCAGATTTTTTACGTTTAATGTGACCAAACCATCTAAGACGACTCTCTCTGATTTTGCCCTCCACTGGAGCTACACCAACCCTATCACGGATATAATCAATTTTGGCTTATACATTAAAATTTGGTCAATTTAAAATATTTTAATTTTTTGCGTCTCTCAAAATACATCCAAAATAACACTGTCATTGTCGAGTCTCAAGTCCGTGATGTAAAAAGTGGAGGATTGTGCTAGGTAGTCGACAATCAACATAAAATTTGTCAAAAAAACATTACATAAATCATTTTAATCATTGTATAAATGCTAGGGCGCCCCCTAAAACTGTTACACGGCATAGCTTGAATACAGAGAAAAGTGTGCAAGGAATGTTACACCGACGCCCGGGTGTAGTGTTAAATAAGCAAGGGTTCTTACATTGCGGATGGATGCGAGTAAATAAGTTAATCCATGAAACTAAAACTAGGATATGATTTTGAAATGTAATGGAATTAGTTGATATTATGATTTATAGAAAGATAAATATATGATGCGTTCAAAAAACTAAATGGGTTGGAAAAAAGACTAAATAGATTGATAACTTAAGTTTTAAATTTTGGTTTTCAGGGATAACTTAAGTTTTAAATTTTGATTTTCAGGTAAAAGTCGCACTAGAAATGGTGTAATTATAAATAAAAGTTTAAAAGATAATGTTATAAAAATTAATAGAATTAAAGATAAAATTTAAGTTCTTAAGATTGTTGTTGAGACAAAGATTTTTAATATTGTAAGTGCTTATGCTCCTTAAGTACGTTTAGATACAGGTTCTAAAGAATAATTGTGGACTAAAAAGAATTAATACAAATAATACCTCTTGAAGAAAGAATTTTTAATGGAGGAGATTTAAATAAACATGTCGGTAGAGTGATAGAAGATTTTAGATGAACATGCCCATACAATTTTAACGTGATTAATGAAAAAGTTAGTCATATTAGACTTTGTTTTAGCATATGATTTTGTTATTGCTAATACGCTTTTCAAGAAAAGAGACGAGGATCCAATAAAGCACAATTTGATTATTTTCTTATGAGAAGAAGAAATCATCAAGAATGTAAAGATTGTAATGTCAATTTAATCAACATCGATTATTAGTTCTGAATTTTAAGATAAAGAGTTGTAAAATAAAAAAAAATATAATGAATCATTGTCATAGAATTGGATGAGAGCACATAAATAGCACAAAAAAAAATATTTTTATAAGTAAACCTCAAATTTTCAAGATTTGTGATGTTCATGAAAAAGCAAATTCTATCCGGGATAAAGTAACAAACTATTAAACAAGTGGTAAGAAATATACTTCGAGTACCAAAAGAAAAAACTTCTATAAATAAAAACAGTTGGTGGTGGAATAATAATGTGCAAGAAAAGATAAAATATAAGAAATATGTAACAGAAATTAGTTTAAATGTAAAAGCCTATAGAACTGGGAATAATATAAAATGGCCCATAGGAAATTTAAGAGAACAACATGTGACGCTAAAAATTTTATTTTTAATGATCTTTATAATATATTTGATACCAAAGAGAGTGAAAAATATATGTATAAACTAGTCAAACAAAGAGAACAAAAACAAATATTTAACTCAAATAAAAAGTATCAAAGATGAAAATCAAAAAGTGGTTTTCTTAGAAAAAGATATTCAACATAAATAGGTGAGTTAGTTTGATAAAGTTTTTATGAAATTGCTAAAAATACGATTTACTTTAGTGAACTTAATATTGCTAAGTATAAAAAAATATTTCATTTTCTCCTTCGCAGAAGTAAAAAAGAAGTTGAGGCTTTAAAGAAAACCAATGGTGGAAAAACTATATGACATGATGATATCCCAATTGACTTGTGAAAATATTTAGGAGATTTAGGAGTTTCCGGGAATACTAAACTCTTTAATATATTGTTAAAAACTAAAAAGATGCTTGAGGAGTCGAAGAAGAGCATTTTCGTCCCCATTTTTAAGAATAAAGAGGATGAACAAGAGTGGGCAAATTAGAGAGGAATTAAATTGATTTGTCATACTTTAAAATTATGGGATATAATTAAACATAGGTTGACGTATTACAAAGATTTCTCATAATCAATTTGATTTATGTGGGGCAGGTCTACTATGAAAGCTATAAATTTATTGAGAGGTTTGATGGAGAAGCACAGAGAAAATAAGGAGGATCTACATATGCTTTGTATTGATTTACAAAAATTTATGATAAGGTTCCAAGAAAAATCCTTTGGAGGGTTTTAGAGAAGAAAAGTGTTGATATGACTTATATTCAAGTCATTAATGATATGCATACTAGAGTTGTTAATTGTCTTCGAACAAAAGGAGGATTGACCAAGTATCTTCATATTTCAGTTGGACTACATCAGAAATCGGTTTTAAGCCCACATATTTTTTGTTTTAATTATTGATACTCTTACCGGACATTTACAGAAGGATGTACCTAGGTGTATGCTTTTAACTGATGATATCCTTCTTGTGGATAAGACTAGAGAAAGAGCTCTGGAAAAGCTTGAAATATGGAAGTCTACATTGGAGTCTAAAGGACTTCGTTTGAGTAGAACTAAAACTCAATACAAGGAATATAACTTTAGTAGTAGTAGCTCAAGTGACAGATTTGTAACTATGGGTGATCAAATTATTAAAAGGTGTGAACGCTTTAGATATCTTAGGTTTATTGTTTACAGTGATGGCAATATAGATGGGAATCTTATTAGTAGAATTCGAGTTGGTTGGTTGAAGTTGAGTAATGCTTCGGGCCTATTGTCTGAAAGAAAAGTACCGCTTAAACTAAGAGAAAAATCTTATAAGATGGTGGTGAGACCTGCAATGCCCTATGATGTTGAATGTTGGCCTTTAAAAGAGAAGCATAAAAATTAAGTTAAGTGTTGTTGAGATGAGAATGCTTAGGTGGATGAGTGGATTTACACTTAGAGATAAAATGTGAAATTATTATTTTAGTGTAGGGTTGGTGTAGCTCCTATGGTGGACAAAATTAGAGAGCCGTTTAAGATGGTTTGGTCACATTAAGCATCGATCATTTTATGATCCAGTTAAGAGAGTAGATATTTTAGATTTGAATTATGTTAAGAAAGGAAGAGGTAAACCTAGAAAGACCTGGGCATATTTTCTAAAAAATTAACCTAATTCATTAGAATTAAATGAAAATATGACACTCAATCTGATGCAATGGAGAAAAAGAATTCATTCAGCCGACCACACTAGTGGAATAAAGGCTTGTTGTTGTTGTTGTTGTCTGTCTCAAAATACATCCAAAATAATTACATAAATCTCTACATTTTTTTATGGTCAATTTTAAATATAACACCATGTACAAATTATAGATGTATTGGGAGGTATAAAAATTTAAAATAACATCTTAATTAAACTTAACAAAATCCTAATTAACTCTATTAATCACTCGGCACTGTAGTGTTGACCTCAATTTTCGTGAGGTCTAGTATTTCTCGTAGGAATTAGGATCTAGCCTTAGGGGTCTTCCTGCGACTATCTTAGCACCTTAGAAGTGGTGCCCGCCTCGTTTTAGTTCGACCTATTTCCGTCCTCTTTTGGAGTTTCGCGTGTGCGGTATCGACTTCTAACACTTAGAAGG